GCGCAGAAGAGACGACATGAACAAAGTGACAGTACTACTCCACGTCCACACAAAACGCACCTTTCATTTCCCTGAACAATTATTTATTTAATTTCATAAGCAATGTACTTATGCTGCTTAATCGTAAAGGAAATATAGACTACATTATTGGAAATAGTCGGCAACAGCAAGATTGCAACATGCACCAGGATTACCACAAGCACAAAATACCAGTGCAGCCAAAGAAACAGTGTCAACAGAACAGGAAAGGAAAACATGGCAAACAAACACCAAAGTGTCATCTTGCTGTTGTGCGGAATCAGAGAGTCCCTAGACCGCCAAACGCATTCATGGTCTTCTCAAACGAATGGAGAAATAAACTGGCTGCCCTGTACCCTGCAGACAGCAACACTCAAATCAGCGTGTGGTAAGTTGCACTACAAAATCTAGATCATTTGTCGAGAGGTGTCTTAGCGGACCAGTTGGAATCACTTGGTGCGTGGTGGCATGGACCTTCTTGCCTCCCGCACCCCATCTACACGGATAACGCTCAGACCTTTGTAAATCACTCCTGACAGTTATGAATTTAAGCGTTAAGAAAAGTGAAGGTATAGATTGAACAAACTATCGCAGGGAACTGACATTTGTTTTGTTGCAGAGAGTAGCGCAGAAGAGACGACATGAACAAAGTGACAGTACTACTCCACGTCCACACAAAACGCACCTTTCATTTCCCTGAACAATTATTTATTTAATTTCATAAGCAATGTACTTATGCTGCTTAATCGTAAAGGAAATATAGACTACATTATTGGAAATAGTCGGCAACAGCAAGATTGCAACATGCACCAGGATTACCAGAAGCACAAAATACCAGTGCAGCCAAAGAAACAGTGTCAACAGAACAGGAAAGGAAAACATGGCAAACAAACACCAAAGTGTCATCTTGCTGTTGTGCGGAATCAGAGAGTCCCTAGACCGCCAAACGCATTCATGGTCTTCTCAAATGAATGGAGAAATAAACTGGCTGCCCTGTACCCTGCAGACAGCAACACTCAAATCAGCGTGAGGTAAGTTGCATTACAAAATCTACGTCAGGACAATTACTTGTTAATAATTTAATGTGCAGAGCATTCGTGAACGACAAATTGTCTTCAAAGCCATTCGAATTCAGGCGGACATGTACGACACATCATTTGACGTCTGCGAGAGCATTAACGGGACATGAAGTTGAGTTGGTAGGTTAGCCAACGGCTATTAACACTATAATAAGGCCTATTGACGACCTACTATCCGATAGTGAGTACACGGCTGACGCGGAAAGATGTGAGGAATATATCGACTAAGGTGGCATCAGGGAGGTGGATCCTCGAGACATCACTGATAAGCTGCTGGACGGACCAGCAACAAAGAGACAACTCCTTCGAGCCACTGAGATTCTATGACCCACTTGGTTTGCTGTCACCGGCATCCATCATTGGAAAACTACTATTCCAGGACACGTGGTGCAGAGGAATAGGATGGGACGGGATTTTCCCCACGAACTTGGAGCGCGATGGCACTCTTAGATATCCACCTTACTACACCTATCAAGCATACAGATCCCACGACGGGTTGCGACTTCAGGGAAGAGCAACGTCCAAGTTCACATATTTTGTGATGCATCTGAGAGAGCCTACGGAGCGGTACTGTACCTTATATCCTCCGAAAAAAAATAACGTCATGGTCGTTTGGTCTGCAGTAAGAACAGATTAGCACCCGTTAAGGAAGTAAGTCTTCCACGGCTGCAGCTTCTAGCAATCGTATGAACTGATGCTATGGTAGCATTAGGCTGGATCCACAGCAAGGCAAATAAATGGAAGACCTTCGTCTGTAATCGTGGCCAGAAATACAAACGTACACCATTCCAAGCCAATGAAAACATTGTCCCGGACAGGACAACCCAGCAGATCATTTGTCGAGAGGTGTCTTAGCGGACCAGTTGGAATCACTTGGTGCGTGGTGGCATGGACCTTCTTGCCTCCCGCACACCATCTACACGGATAACGCTCAGACCTTTGTAAATCACTCCTGACAGTTATGAATTTAAGCGTTAAGAAAAGTGAAGGTATAGATTGAACAAACTATCGCATGTAACTTGACATTTGTTTTGTTGCAGAGAGTAGCGCAGAAGAGACGACATGAACAAAGCCTAGAGCCTTGAAACTATTGTCGATAAGCGTTTTGTTGGTTCTCAGGAAGATTGAGCTAACTGCACCTACAACACGTCCGAAGTTTAAGTATAGAGTAGGTCAGGCTTTCTTGACTTTCCCGAATTTCGCTTGGACAAGGCTCTACGCACTTTTCCCTGGAAAGTTCGAAGCATACCGCGCAGCCACGAGACTTGTTCACGGTAAACCCTACTTCGGTTATATCCGTGATATGAAGTCCGCAGCATCACGTCATTATATAAATCTTGCCTATGCTGCTAAGGAGTTACTGATCCGAAGTGGAGGACATGACAGTTTGAAAGCCTTCCAGGGATGGGTGAGATCCTGCAAGAGTCAGGCGCCTGTCCTTAATATTATCAACACCTACTCGGCCAACCGGACTGCAGACTTGGACGATGAAGTTGAGTTGGTAGGTTGGCCAACGGCTATTAACACTATAATAAGGTACTGTTGCCGTACGCGTTTCGACCTCAACAGGTCATCGTCGGTGGCATCACGGAGGTGGATCCTCGAGACATCACTGATAAGCTGCTGGACGGACCAGCAACAAAGAGACAACTCCTTCGAGCCACTGAGATTCTATGACCCACTTGGTTTGCTGTCACCGGCATCCATCATTGGAAAACTACTATTCCAGGACACGTGGTGCAGAGGAATAGGATGGGACGGGATTTTCCCCACGAACTTGGAGCGCGATGGCACTCTTAGATATCCACCTTACTACACCTATCAAGCATACAAAAACAAATGAAGAAACGAAGAAAATACTCATAGCCCACTACGGTGACAAGAACAGAATAATACAGGCTCACTTAGACTACCTGGAAGACATGAGGCCCATCCAGTACGCCGCTACGTAAGCGCCGAACACTACGTACATTGAATGCAATCGCCGCATTCACGCCCTTCGTTCACTTGGAGAAGACGTTAACGGATATGGTCGAGTGTGTATTCCGAAGATACTCCGCGCCTTCCCCGACGAAACTGGTCGACGTTGGATCATTCAAGTGAAAAGTTAAGGCCAGTCCGAAGCCGATATTTTCAGGTTAATGGAATTCCTTCTCGAAGAAGTGGAGGCTGCCCTTATCACACTAAATATACGTGGTGAGTTCGTCAGTTCAGCCTACCGCAGAAACTATCACGTACACGACAAGCCGGGAAAAGTAACAAGGAACACTAGAAATGAACCAGACCCCTGCTGCGTGTTCTGTCTGCGAGTCTCGTGGCCATTGGGCTCAGGATTGCAAGAGAACTGATATGGTATGGTTTACAAGAAGTTAGCCGGCGAAAGTGCTGCTGTAGATATGGAAAGAACGGAGCTGTGCTCGAGAGACTGCTGGAGGGATATGAGCCGCGGGGCATTTATAATGCGGATGGGACGGGACTTTTCTACAACGCCCTCCTGGATAGGACGCTGGCATTGAAAGGTGAATCTTGCCACGGGGGAAAACGTGCAAAACACCGGATTACAGGTCTTCTGTTTGTTAACAGTGACGGTAGTGGCAAACGGGGTTCGATTGTAGTTGGAAAATCACTAAAACCGCGTTGTTTC